AAAAAAATATTAAACAAAAATCAGTAATCAGTAAACATATAAAAATATTTTATTTAATTTCCTATAGCATAGACTTGTTGCCGTATCAAGTAAATAATATATTATTCTTATCTAACAATTTGAGAAGCCGTCTTAGACTGTTCTGATATCGAACAGAGCACTGCACACCTACTAAATTCGTATGCCCTATGTAGACGTAATTATTTTGGCCAGATGTAGTTGTTGGTGCAGTTATACGATAAGTTTTTTATTCTTATGTTTACAATATATATTGTTATAATTTATTGAATTTGTTTGTCAAGGTTCCTGATATGCCATATCAGGTTTTTTTTATCATAATTAAGCTTATATAGAATTAAACTAAAGTAGCTGAATTAAGTTTCAGTGCTTGTTTCTTATTTTTTTCATGTTACTTTTTGGCATAATTGTCGGATGTTGTATTGTTTTCTATCTAATCTAATCTCAAAGATCTAGATCTAATCAGTTATAATCAGTTCTTGGAAGTAGTTGTATAATACTGTGTAAAAAATTGCCAAAAAATTCCATGAATGCCAATTAGAATTATCTTGCCTGAACTGAAACATTTTACCGGCAAACACAATTTTGTATATATTATAATTATTTTTAAAAACATTGTATTTATATATATAAAAATATGTTTTTTTATAATCAACAAATGATAATTTTCGTTCTTTAATATCACAGTGTTTAAATAAAACAGAACACTATTAAAATAATTAATGTTTATTGTTAATTCAATTTTTCAGTCTACGATTTTCATTTGAATGATCAGAGCATTCAGTGTCATCTTTAAGGGTTCATCGTATAAAATACTGTTATTCCAAAATATATTCAATTTAAGTGTCCACAAAGACTGAGTAGTATTTATTTAGCTTTAAAACTGAGAGACTTGCATACAAACCCATATATGGGAATGAATATATGGGCAAGTTAATAAGCATACATATTTAAAAGAGTTGATCTATTGGCTTATTAAAATATATAGTTATAGTTAAATACTATATACAGTCTGTGATGTGTATCTTTCTATAATAAAAATATTTTAATGATATTTATAGTATATGATATAAGAAGCTTATGTTCTATAAAGATATGACAGAATGATACAGAGAGGTTACTACAGCAATAAAAACTTATTACTGGCACAATTATACTTACGATACAAATATTGTAGTATACTTCACTTATATATACTTATAGTTGTTAGTAATAAATAAATAAAAAATAACTAAAAATAATTAAATATTTTTTATAATTGTTTTTTAATAATTTCTTTTAATTAAATTAATACGCAACTAATTAAAATTTATTCCACATGAATTGTTTTGAACTAACTTAAAAAATTTTATTGCTAAATAGAAAATAAAAAATTATTTAAATTAAAGATTAGTATTATCAATTTTGATATTAAAAGTATTAAGAAATTTAGATAATATTTTGATTTTGAGTTACATATATTTTATATTGAAATACTATATACTGTTGCAAATTGCGAAGAGTATCTTCTCACTTAAGATAAGAACTGAGTGCTGATATGATATAATTATAAAACCAAGTGTAAAATTATTAGAAAAATGAAATTTCTTTCTTATCAATTATTTCTTCATTGTATAAAAATTAAAAGTAATTAATTACTTATTATTTTATACATAAAAGTTAGATTGTCTAGATTTTAGTTAAATAGGAGAAAAAGAATTTAGTGAGATAGAAACTGTAGTAATTAAACATGGGAAGTGTATGGAAAATATATATTTATTAAAGAGGAACAGGTAAAAATAAAATAGAATAGTTGAAGAACAACATACAAATTCCACTAATATTTATAGAATAATCTAAAAATCTATTCAAAATATACTTGACTAAAGACGCGATTAGTACTTTGACCTATACGACAAATGTTTAATAAGAACAGCATATGACATCACTCCTAAGTTTTTAATCAAATGATAATTATATACTTTATATCGATAATAACGTGAGGCTTTTGAGAGCACTGAAGTAATTCCAGAACTGTAATGTCGGAGATTTAGTGACGCAAATTATCAATTCTCTTTTAACACGATAAGGAGATATAAAATCATATCTTGGAAATCTGTACTATATATGTCGATATTTAAAAAAATTACAAAAAGTCTTGAAAATTTTGGTATCTTTAAAACCAACTGAATTCGTGATTTAGAATACTAAAAAATTAAAGAAAAATATTATTTTTACATTATTTAAGAAGGGCAAGCCAGCATTTAGCTTATATATTTTTATTTGAGTAACTGTGGATATATTCATCAAAATATGTGGAACTTATATGGAATCTAAGTTATATGGGTACTTTCAACAAGTATCTAATAAATTAATATGCGGTAGAAAATTGATTAATACAAATCAAAAGTTTAATATTGACTTATAAATTTATAAATAATTTCTTGAAGTAATTTAAAATAATTTTTATGGTTAATTTGGTAAATTATAAGCAACATTTGTAATTTTTTTTTAATAGTTACTTTAACCAAGATACGGAATGAAAGTTTTAAATACCATTTGCAAAAGTTTTCTTTATTTAAAATAAAAAAAAGTAACAAAACATAAAATTGTTTACTTGTATGAAAAATAATTTCTAGTTTGTGCAGCTTTACAAATTCAGTAATAATTACGACGTAATTATTTACTACATACAATACATATATTACATATTACACAACTTTTCCAATAGAAAAACCTGCAATATATTGAATTATTTTTTATTTAAATTTATTGTTTAATTGCTATTGCTAAAACGTGTTATATTTTAAAACTAATCAACAATTGTGTTACTTAAAAGATAAGAGTTTTCTCTGCAGTAAAGCATAATTTATGGGGAAAAAAAATTATTTATTATAATATTTAGAATGAAGTGATATGTTACTAGAGAAAATTAAATTAAATTGTAGGTCACAGCCTAGACCTGGAATTTTTTTTATTTCTACTCTAATTTTTTTATAAGGGAATTAAATACGCAAAACGCACTACAAACACATATCACACTCACAGCAAAAATATAATTTTTTCATATCACTTTTAGCAAACAAGCAAACATAATAAATAAATTAAGTACATATTTTTCCGCATTATGGAATAATTGAAATTTTTCTAAAATTCACAAAAAATTTTTTTTTAATTTTAGCTTT